GGCCAGAGTTGGTGATTGTAAATTCTGATATTTTTTCAAAGTGTTACACCACTACAGACAGTGGCGATGCACACGAGAACCTAAAATCACTGACATTTATTTCTTCAGCTGAGGCATGCCTTGAGCATCATGACTCTGTTTCTTTGGTTCAGTCWAGTGTAAAAATTGTGCAAACATATGAAGAAGAAAAAAGAGGTCTCTCAGAAGTCTTGTACGAAAAGGAGTTGGCAGTTTGAAAAAAATAAAAACAACTGTTTTGAGTTCAATTCAATTCAGTTTATTTATATAGAACCAAATTACAACAATTGTCTCAGGGAAATGTTCCAAAAAATAAATACAAAAATAAAAATCTAAAGAACCCGGCAGATTGTGTTGAATCTTCACTTCTTCACAGTCTGCCATCCTGAGCAGCACAGTGGTGACAGTGGAGAGGAAAAACTTGTTTTTAACAGGAAGAAACCTCCAGCAGAACCAGGCTCAGGACAGGCAGCCATCTGCCTCGACCGGCTGGGTTTGAGGGGACAGGAAAGAGACACAGGCAAACACAGAAGAWCTGGTCCAGGTGTATTTTCCTCTAGAAGAGAGACAAAGAAAACACCTGTTATTGATAAAAGTGATTAAAACAAGCAGAGGAGAGTGATTAAAGACAGAGTGAGGAAATGTGGTCAGTTTGTCCTCCAGCAGTCTAAGTCCTGATACATCTCAGTAATCCAGGGAGAAAATCAAAAAGAAAATATTAARTAGGTCCTCTGGACGGGTCCCTCCTTAACGAAAGGTTTCTTCTCTCCTCCAAGAGACTTCTTCAGTCTGAGGAAATTCAGGTGAACTCAGCCTTAAAGCACTGCCTCCACATTGTGGACAAACAGGTTGTTCACATGCAAAATGGGACCATCAGCCAAACAATAGATTGTTAGTACCTTGATTAACTCTAATTTTTGTAGAGGGTCATGTGCACTATCAACTGACTATTGCTGGGGCCCTGATTCACACCTATTGCTCACAGGGGACTGAGTCATACTTGTAATAACAGCATTATAGGAGGGGGTCAACTGGACCCAAAGGCCTCCATCCCTGTTTAATGATGACTGGTTTGTCTTCAAAAAAAATGGCTTCCTTTCTTTACTCCTCTCTCAAATGACTCAATGGCGAAACGTTTCATYAAAGAAGGACCCATCCAGAGGACCTACTTATTTTTTTTCTTTTTTTTAAGTCTTTAGCATCATAACTAAGAAATAAGTCAGGAAACCTAAGCCTAACTATAGGATTTATCAAAAAAAAAAAAGGGAAGTCTTCAGTCTAATCTTAAAAGCAAACAGAGTGTCAGCCTCAAGGACAGAAACTGGAAGTTGGTTCAACAAGAGAGGAGCTTGAAGCTCTGCCTCCCATTTTACTTTATAAACTCTAGGAAACACAAGTAAACCTGCAGTCTGAAATCCAAGTGCTCTGTTAGTAAAATATGGAACGATAACATTTAATAGAAAATAGAGCTTGGTTAATGAGAGCTTTGTAAGTTAGGAGTATTATTTTAAATTCTATTCTGAATTTGACAGGGAGCCAGTGGAGAGATGCTAAAACTGGATAAATATGATCTATTCTTCCAACTCTCATTAAAACTCAGCATTTTGGATCAACTGAAGGCTTCTTAAAGAGTTTTTTGGATGCCCAGATAATAAGGAATTGCAGTAGTCCAGCCTAGACGTGATAAATACATGGATCAGTTTCTTGCATCATTTTTGGACAAGATTTTTCTAATTTTAATGATCTTACGCAGATGCAATTCTGGTAACATTTTTAGTGTGAGGTTTAAAATACATATCCTTTTTATTTTTTTTTTAAAAAAA